GCTGTGGAGATATGGGTGGTTATCGGGCGCGTTGCCGCGCTGGGGTAGGGCTTGTAGCGCCTTGTCAAGTCTACGAGGCGCTTTATCTTGCGGGTCTCCCCGCCTACGCTTCAAGTGCTGCGCTTTTGGCTCCTTGCCGAGCGGTTGGTAGTAGCGTAGTGATGAAGCGTATATGGTATCAATGTTGTTGTCTAGACGTCGTACCTCTCGTGTTGCTTCTTGCTCTTGTATTGATCCACGTATATGTCGGTGGAGTGGTGGCGCAGGGTAGGAGATTGGTCACGAGGATCGTGCCGGGTAGCGTGAGGATAAGAAGAGCAAGAGCTGACCACACGAGAGTGCGGCCAGCTCCGCTACCAAGTCTGAAATGACTCTGGCAGGTCATATAGCATCCAATTCCATGTCGAAGGAATACGATATGGGGTGTAGATGGGTAAGATAAGATAATATCGATGTAGTGATCTTCCCAGCACATAGCGAACATTAAGGTCAGTGTCCGGGCAAATAGGGCGCGCGTGCCTTGAGCCATAAGGCAGCGACCCGCAGGCTATACTCCCGATCCTCTATGACATCTCCCAAAGAGCTACCCTTAAAGTCTCTCTTTAGCGCCGCGCCCATCCATCTTAAAGAAATGTAGCAACCGCGCGACTGGAGGGAGTTCATTTTCAAGAGGCCGTCAAGAGAGCCCTTGGAGGTGTCACTTTCGCGGGCGTTGAAAGTGACACCATCCAGGAGCCATCCAGGATCCCTCATGGGGCGCCTTTTGGGCCCCTCTGCGAACCCCCGATTCGTGCCTCGTTGAGGCCCTCTCGGGCTTTTCTTCGAGCTTATGTGGGGCCCTAAGTGGGCCTGGGAGGTACCACTTTCACGGGCGTTGAAAGTGACACCTCGAAAAGCCCGTTTGGGTCCCTCTTGGGCCACTCTTGGAGCTCTCTTGGCACCCCATTGTGGCACTTTTGAAGCCTTCTCGGGGCCTATCTGGGGCCTTCAGTGGGCCCTCGGAGGTGTGTGTCACTTTCACGGGCGTCGAATTCTGACACCTCGCAGGGCCCGCTCGGGTCCCTCTTGAGCCTCTCTTTTCTTGCCCCCCCCAAGGCCTTTTGTCCCAAGAGAGGCAAACCTTTTGTCCCAAGAGAGGCCCAAGTCCCTCTTGGGCCTCTCTTGGGACCCTCTTGGCGCCCCCTTTATGGCCCTCTTGGGGCCTTCTTGCAGCCTTCTTGGGTCCTAAATGGGCCCTGGGAGGTGTCATCTTCACGGGCGTCGTCGGCGTCGTCGTCGGCGTCGTCGTCGTCTTCGTGCTCGTCGACGTCGTTGTCGGCGTCGACGTGTTCGTCATCGTAATCGCCGTCGTCGTCGTCGCCGCCGCCGCCGTCGTCGTCGTCGTCGCCGTCGTCGTCGTTCTCCTCGTTCAGGCGCGCCCGAGCGCCTACGGCTGGAATCCGAAAACTCCCTGGCCGCGACGCGCCGGGAGCCAGGCGCGGATGGCTATGTTTCTGCAATCCGGCAATCTTTGACTTTGGGCCCCCTGGAGGGGCCGAGGCTCCAGAATTTCGGTATCTATTGTTGTCTTGTGTCGTCATCTTCATCCTCGAACTCCTCCTCCTCCTCCTTCTCCCCCTCCTGCTCCTCCTCCAACTCCACCCCGTCCTCCTCTTCCTCCCCCTCCTGATCCCCCCCTCGTCATCGTCGTCGTCGTCCTCCTCCTCCTCGCTGCCTGCCTGGACCTCCTCTAAACCACTCTCGCCCGACACTAAGCGCAAACCAGATCAGTCAGACCAGCCAGACCAAACTGCAAATCAAAGCAAACAAACTACAAAGCAAAGCGAAGGCCAGTGCAACAGAACAACCGCAAAGCAAACAAACTGCAATGCAAGCGACAAACGCACTTCGGTCGTCGTAGTAGTTGGCGATGCCTCCGTGGACCTCCCCTAAACCACTCTCGCCCGAATCCTAAGCTAAGGCTTCAGAACGGAGCTCAAACTAGACCAACCAAGCACCCCAGAACAGACGCAACAACAACTGCAATGTAAAGAACTGCAACGCAAACAAAATGCACGGCAAAACAAAAACTGCATTTCGGTCGTCGTAGTGGTTGGCGCTGCCTCCCTGGACCTCCCCTAAAGCATTCTCGCCCGAATCCTAAGCTAAGGCTACAGGACGAAGCTTAAACAAGACCAACCAGACCAGCCAGACCATATGAAATTCCAGCCAGGCCAGATCTGAAGCTTCAAGCTCAAGCTTAAGGCTGACGTTTCAAGCTTGTTCTTTGGAAGCTTGGCGACCCGCCGTGCGCTACACGGCTAAAAACTTTGTTCCTTCAAGGACCCTCGCGGTTAAAATGCCACAAACGGTGATTTGGTACGATGCCGGACTGTCAAGGCGCATCAATCATGGATTCTCGAACGGTTGTCTTCCAACGAGGCACTTCCCCCAGTGAAAATGAAGCCCTGTAGGAGTCAAAGAGGGAACTTGGAGGAAGGGTTTACTGCAATATCGTTAATGAGTCTTGGGTTTACACTGGTCCTCCTCCTCTTCCTCCTCCTTCTTTCCCGATTGATCCTCCGTCCTCCACCATTTGGGGTACGACGGCTTCCCCGGCCCATAATTCAACTGCGTGCTCCTCGACATCCCTGGATGGGCTGGTGGGGTTACTTTTTTGGTCGCGACCGCGAGCGGGCACCCGCGCGGCGTCAAAGGCTGGTGGAGTTATTTTTTGGTCAGCGGCCGCGGGCGAGCGCGCCGGCGGCGAGTCAGGTCAAAGCGGGCTACGCAGAGACTAATTAGGCAAAGGGAACGTGGGAAAAACAAGCAGAGCAAGCGCGAGGCGACGGCTAAGCGCGGCCGATGCCTCCGGTGGGTGGCTGAGAAGACTGAGACTGAGGGGACACTGCCAGCGTGCAAAGCTGCAAATCCGTCGGAGGAGCGTCAATAATATATATGGAACGACTCGCCCCCTCCTCCCACACCCATGGTAAAAAAAAAAACTGTATGGTCAAGATTGCTCTGCCGCCGGATGCAGAATCAAGTGGCTCAGGTGGTGGGTTCCGGAAGCGCTGCACCCCAAAATGCTGCCTTCTCTTGGGGGAACATCTTTTGCTCCCGCTGGCTTCCACCGGCCTTGCGCCGGCTTCCGCGGAGGCAGCCTCGTTTGGAGGTCGAATCTTGGGGGGCGGAAAGATACGGATACGTGTTGTCCCCGGACCTCTCTTGGGGTGCGTTCTGACCAGAATTTCGAAGCGAATCCAGCGGTGACAACGAGGATTCCCCAGGAGGAACAGGAAGGCCGAAAACGACGGGGGACAACACGTATCCGTATCTTTTTCTCCCCCGAGAATCATGGCATAAACATGTACTCGGCAGTGCGAGCGGATTTCTTGGATCTGCGCTGACCCCCCTCCGTGGCGCGCGGAGCGCGCCAGGGGCAGCGTCGGAGGTGCCGCCAGGGGGGCCCAACGCAGATCCAATAAACCCGCGCGGACCGCCGAACGTTTATGTTTAATTATTCTTTCGTCTTTTGAGGGGCCAGAAGCCCTCTCGAGACCCCAAGAAGCGTCCACGAGGACTCCGACCCAAAACCCAAGCACGGTGGCGGGATGGGCCGCGCCACGTCACGACTTTCGATGCTGCACGATCTTCGGCAAACTCCCAGGGAGCGGCCGGTGATGCGCCGCCGGCGTCCTCGATAAACCCGCGCGGACCACCGAACGTTTATGTTTAATTGATTTTTCGTCTTTTGAGGGGCCAGACTATACACCGACGCTTTGTCTAGCCCCGCAGGAAAGCGGATCCAGGTGTAAACGGGATCCTGGTGTATACATGTTTCATTGTTTCCTGGGGAAAACGGTGAAAAGTATACACCACACCACCCCGATGTCGTCCCCGACCCTCGAAAAAAAGTCCTGGCATTGAACAACAGCCCGCCACTGGTACTGTGTGTGGTCCAGTTTCCGGCTTCCACGGGCTTCCGCCGCCTTTCGCCGAGGAAGAGAGGTGGCGCCTCAGTGGGCCGCGAAAAAACGGAAGGGCAGAGTTTTCAAAAAAGGTGCCTCTTGAACATGGACACCGCCCCCAAAACGGCGACCGGACACGTGACAAAAACGGCTCCAGGAGTGGAGCCGGAGCCGGCACTGGCAAAACAACAGCGACGGAACCGTGGCAAAAAAACGGCGTCGGAGCTGGCAACCAAAACGGCACAACGGAAGCGGTAAGGTAAACAAAAAAACGGCGCAACGCCCTCGGCCCTCGAGTGCAGGGCCCCGCCCTCAAGCGCGCGCCAGGAAGGCCAGCGCCGACGACGGGGGAGAGCCGCGTGCGGCCGCCTCCTCCCCGGCCGCGGCCGTGGTCGAGGCTGGCCCCCCGCCAGGCGCCCCCGGGCGTGGCGCACGTCCTCGCGCTCGGCCCTCCTCCCCCTCCGCCCCTCATTCTGGAATCCTCCTCACCCTCTCTGCTCCTCCTCCTCCTCCCTCCCCCCTCCTCTCTCCTCCTCCTCTCCTCCTCATCGCTTCCTCCTCCTCCTCCTCCTCCTCCTCCCTCGTGCCTCCTTCCCTCCTCCCTTCCTCCTACCTCCCCGACTCTCCTCCTCATCAGCCTCCTCCGCCTCTCATCCATACTACCCTCTTCGCCCTCCCTCCTCCCCTCCTCCCCTCCTCCCTCCTCCCTCCGTCGTCCTTCCTCCTCCTCCTGCCATGTCTGAGGTGGCGGCCAGGTCCTCGTCTGGATCTATGTCGAACTCGCTTCGTGACTGGCCTTGACTTATCTTATCCCTCCTTCTCCTCGGGGAGGGTGAACGGGTAGAGTAGCAAAGGGTAGGGTGGAGAATCAGCTCACGTAGCTGGTTTCCCTGCCGCCTCCTGGCGCCGGGAGGCGCCCATATGTATCGAGGAATGGGCCTGGCGGCAGGGCCAAAACGAGCTGCATTCGTAACCCCTCCGTTTTCCCTATCCCCCCCTTTCGTCCAGCCCGACTCTCCCTCCCCCCCCCCTCCCATCCCTCTCGATCGC